GATTCTATGATTCTATGATCTTGGCTCACACTAGTGGGAAAATATTGAAGTTGTGAGGAAAAGCTCAGAAAGTTTGCAGAGAAGAGTCAGCTACAGATGGAGGTGGGATTGGTGAGATAGGTGTCAGCCCTTCAAGGATTTAAGGGGGAAAAAAAATCACAGAATCACTATGGTTGGAAAGGACCTTTAAGATCTTCAAGTCCAACCATTATCTAACTCTACTAGGCTACTTCTACACCATATCCCTGAGCACCTTATCTAAATGTACCAACATGGAAAGATTAAGAAATACTAAGGCATAAAAAGCAAAAACTCTCAGAAGACAGCAACTCAGCACCACCAAAGAGCTATGCCTGGAAGCCCTGGAGGATGATAAACCTTTCTGTTCCTAGCTGATGCCTGTAGGGCTAGTAAAGGTACCCTGAGGTGTTGAGGATTACAATGCTTAGTCTGAGAGCTAATTAAATCCTAACCATCTCTTGTTTGTCTTCATAAATATTTCATACCTTATGCATGCATTGCTTGCAGCATCCCTTTATGCACAGTGAAAGTTGTTCAAAATGGCCCCTTTGTCTTAAAACTCGCCCTGCTCTGGAAATGTGTCTCACTACTTACAATCATGAGAGTTTCTTTTAAGCAGGAGTGCAAAATCTCTCCCTCTCTAACAGAGGAACTGAGTTCACGTGTATGTCCTGAGTTCAGTGACATTTACGTGGTTGAAATTTTGCCCTTAAACTTTGCTGTCAGGATCCCCGGTTGGTAAATCAAGCAATTAAAGTTTAAGAGATTGCAGATTAGTACTTAAAGATATGACATTTAAATTCAAATTACCACAAAATGACTGCAATTTTGGTATGAAAAAAGCAAGCTATAAAATAGATGTATTAAACTCTGCAATTTTCTCTAAATTCTATGTTGAAACTGTATTTTCAATGATTTATGATGATACTTAATTTTAACATTCAGTATATTCCAAAAGGTTTTGTATAAGCAAAGGCTGCATCATTTCCCTAGGAGGCTGAATAGTTGTTAGAAGAAATAATTGTTTACATACTCCTCTATTCACATTCAGAGAAGTGTTCAAATTTTTGAAACCATTCATAATTCAGAAATGGTCCCCAAAACCTTTAATGCTCTTGAGGCTTAATTCCCAAGTTGTCCAATGTAAAATACAAACCATTATCCTAATTGTTAAGTCATTCAACTGGAGGAAAATATGAAGACAGAGGTGCTGGTATCAAGCAGCAATATAATTACCTGTAGAAACAGGAGCCAGACTCCACACTTGCTCCTTCTTGGCCAAGCAATTCTTACAGACAAGACTCTAGGAAAGTTCTCTCCCCTGGCTTGACGCTTCTGGTCATTAACTCTTGCACAGCTGTCTGTGTCACTCCTTGCTTGTACTCACCCTGTTTGCAAGCCAGAGAAGTTATCTAGAAAGTTGGTCACCTCAGGATACAGTGATCATGAAATCCATGTTATCCCTCTGTCTGGGTAAATGCTCTCCACTAGGCAGTTCTGACAAAGTTCCTGAGTTCTACTTCTCTCATTTTTTTTTAAAAAGGAAAGGTAAGCAATTTCTTCAAGTCACAGAAAACTATTTAATATAAATTTGTTTGATTTGTATCAGGGAGCTGAAAATTTGTCACTTTATTTCAGTGTATTGGGTGTCTGTTGCAAGATTTTGGTAGCAGCGGACTACAGGGGTGGCTTCTGTGAGAAGCTGCTAGAGGCTTCCCTGATGTCCAGTGGAACCAATGCCAGCCAGCTCCAAGATGCACCTGCCATTGGCCAAGGCTCAACCCATCAGTGACAGTGGTAGTGCCTTTGGGTTAACATATTTAAGAAGGGAAAAAAAAAAAAACAAAAAAAAAAAAAAACCCGGCACAAATGCAGCCAGAGAGAGAAGTGAGACTATGTGAAACAACTCTGCAGACACCAAGGCCAGTGAAGGAGGAGAAGGTGCTCCAGGCAACAAAGCAGATTTCCCTGCAGCCTGGTGAAGACCATGGGGAGGCAGGCTGTCCCCTTGCAGCCCATGGTGGTTAATGGTGGAGCAGATAGATACCCACCTGCAGCCAGTGGAGGAATCCACACCAGAGCAGGTAGATGCCTTAAAGAGGCTCTGACCCTGTGAAAAGCCCATGCTGGAGCAGACTCTAGACCCATGGAGAGAGGAGCACACACTGGAGGTTTGCTGGCAGGACTTCTGACCTTGTAGGGGCCCCACACTGGAGAAGTCTGTTCCTGAAGGACTACACCCTGTGGAAGTGATCCTTGCTGGAGCAGTTAATGAAAAACTGTAACCCATGGGAAGGACCCATGTTGAACAATTTCATAACTGTCTCCCATGGGAGGTAACCCATGCTGGAGCACAAAAAGAGTCTGAGGAGTCCTCCTCTTGAGGAAGAAAAAGCAGAGACAACATGTGATAAACTGACCACAACCCTCAATCCCCACCCCCATGTGCCACTAGGAGGAAGGAAGTAGGGAACTCAAGAGTGAAGTTAAGCCTGAGAAAAAGAAAGGGGGAGGGAAGTGTTTTTACAGGTGGTTTTTTTTTCTCATTATCCTACTGTGATTTGATTGGCAATTAATTAATTTCCCCCAAGTGAAGTCTATTTTGCCTATAATAGTAATTGCTGAGTTATCTCTCCCTGTCCTTATCTTGACGCATGGACCGTTTGTTGAGAGTGACAGAGCAGCTTTGGTAGACACCTGGCATCCATCACATTCAGGAAGAATCTCAGATAAACTTTCCTCTGGGGCATTTCTATCCAGCTGTTTGTGTCTCCTTCCTTCTCTCTTTCTCAAGTAACTGCTGGCTGGTTTAAATGCTACACTGAGGTGCCTTATCTGTCTGATTTACTACACAGGGAAGGCAGGCACCAGAAACTCCAGAGTGCTGCAGGGTTGAGTACCCACAT